AAACCCCTAAACCCTAAAACCCTTCAACCCAGGCATGAGCACAGCAAGCTCCGAGGAGATCCGAGGTCCGCCGGGCTTAGAGGATGCCACTGGAGACGCCGGGTTTTTAGGGTTTAGAGATTAGGGGCTTAGGTGTAGGGGCTTAGGGGTGTAGGGTGTAGGGGTTTAGGATTTAGGGTTTCAGGATTTTAGGGTTTAGGGTTTTTAGGGATTAGGGATTAGAGGTAAGGTTCATATAAGGCTCGTATAAGGGTCATGGGCCTATATGAGCTTTATATAGGCCTCTTCTAAGGGTAACTACCCACCTGGAACTGTCCTTGATTTAGGGATTAGGGCTTAGGGGTTTAAGGGTGTGGGGGTTTAGGATTTAGGGTTTGGGGATTACGGTTTAGGATTTTAGGGTTTAGGATTTAGGGTTTAGGATTTAGGGTTAATTTAGGGTGTTGGGATTTGGGTTTATGGATTAGGGGCTTAAGGGCTTTAGGGATTAGGGGTTTAAGGGCTTAGGGGTTTAGGGATTGGGGTTAGGGTTTTGGGTAAGGAGCTCAAGAAACACCACAATGATTTCCTTTCCAGGGCGGCAAAGGTGCAATAAAGGGCTTTTGCGGGGTTTGGGGTGAGGGGCTCTTGGATACCTTTGGTCCAGGGTCTAGGGGTTGGGGGGTTTATAGGTTTCAGGGTTTAGGGTACATATAGATTTGGGTCGCTGTTCAAAAGCTGGTTTGTAGAGGTTAAGTTTAGGGTTTAGGGCCCGTAAGCTGGTGAGGAGCTTGAATTAAAGGAATGAAAAGGCAAATGAAAGCTACAACATGCTTGGGACTATACATGGCTAGAACCCTAAACCGCCAATGTAGGGAAAGAAATTTGAATGAAGCTGACCCGGGTTTCAAACTGCTGGTAAGAATTGCTGTTGAGAACTTGAATTCCCATACTGATTTCCCTCAAAGGGAATACATGGGTAATAGAGGGTTTAGGCTCAAGTTGCGGTAATATGCGTACATAGTAAGTAAAAATGTGCCCTTATAATGGCAACTTAACTTCATTTCCTCAAACACCCAGGATAGCACCCGAGAGCTACTGGAGCGGGCTATCAGCTCGATCAGTGCCGCGACGAACCAGGCTGCTCGACGACGTGTGCGCCAGCGTTTGCAAAGGCGGCTCAGCGACTTCTTGACCAAGGACCTACTGGGCAATTTATTAAAGTGACCTTACCCGACCTCACCCTAAATGGTGCTTGTTATAGGGAAAAGTATCAAGATGGCCTTAAGTTGGGAACTGAAATTATTCGAACTTACCCTGCAAGGAGCAGTATGACAATGCAATGCAGCAGTTCAAGTTCTTGTGCGAGACCCGGCTCGGCTATGTGTGGCGGGTCGCTGAACCTTCCGACCACAACAGCGAGAAGTTGTCGACTGGACTTCCAGGGGTATGCTACCTTCATTTCGACGATCTGAGTGGGCAATGGCAGCACAACTTTGTTTGATTCACTTTGGGCACAGCCTTCTGAGCTTCAGAAGTGCTTGTGGATTTCCAGGGTTTTGAGGAGGTGCTCTAGATTTTTCTTGTGCTGGTCTGGGCACCATGGCCAGCATTCACGGTTTTGTTTCCATGAGGAGTTTCCATGAATCTCCCATGCTTGCTTCTGTGAATATGTGCGCTGCAAACATGCGGTGATATACCTGCTACAGCTTAGGTCATTCCCCGTCACAGTACCACACAAGGCAACAGGAGTTACAATAGCATCTTCTTAGTAAGACCCTTTAAGGACAGATATACTGTAAGAGGGAAGTGACCCAAGCTGCAACGCATTTTTTGGTGCCCCAGAGCATCTGGTGTACCATTCTGTACAGAATGAGCTGAGGGGTGGAGTTGTGCTCACTGATTGGGCCAACTGCTTCATGCATTCCGGGTTGGCCCAGTTACGGCTGGGACTCAAGCGTTGCACCAATTCGTCCTGACGGGACAGGGTGCTGAATTCGAACATCCAGCCACGACTGACTGGTGATGGTCTTGACATGCGATCATCGCATAAAACGAGCCGAACCATAGAACCCGGATCCAGGTGGGTGTGTCATGGTGTGTCCAAAATTTGCCGTCCACTGTTCGTCCTGCTTTCAGGGACATCTCCAAAAGAGACTCTCAGGGTTTAGGATTTAGGGTTTGGGCTTTAGGGCAGGGTTTAGGGTCTAGGGTTCAGCAAACCTGAAGGTCTCACGACGGGTATCCTAATGTATCCGTGTGCCTCCCGAAAACGAGAACGAACCCCTAATGTTTGGAAGCCCCCAAGTCTAAACCCTGTATATCCTTATGTATCCTTCCGTTTAAAGGGGATTTTTGATATCCTTATCCCTCCATTTGAGAGGGGGGTCACTTGGAAACCCTAAACCTTTAAGCCTAGTTTTCGCAAGCCCCCATGTTGAACCCTAAGCCCTAAACCCTATAAACCTTAGACCCTAGACCCCAAACCTTTAACCCTATGAATTCCAGGAGCTCCTTCAAGCTTCGGAGGCTAAGGTCGATACCTGAGGGGCTGCGCGAGAAGAGTTTTGAAGAATCCGATTCTAGTAACTAGGATTTAGGGTTTAGGGTATTTAAGGATTGGGATTGCAGGATTTATCGAGTAGGGTTTTAGGGTCTTAGGCTTTTAGGGATTAGGGTCTAAGGATTTAGGAAGTAGGGTTTGGGGGTTATAGGGCTTAGGATCGGTTTGAGCATAAACGGACACCCCAAGATGGACCCCACACGCTATAGTCCTCATATAGGGGCCTCAAAATGTTACACCTAATTTCGGGAAACTCTCATATTATCATATCTACCTGGATCTCGCTTGGGTCATTGTTGGAAGTTGATCTTGTTTTCTTATACTAAAAATGCAGAAGGGCGATGGTCAAAATTATGGACCCTTTTGAGGTACATCTTGGAGACCCTACACATTAGGGGCCCGGTTATACTGGGACCCAAAAGACCATAATTGTAAATGCGGATGCGAGTTTTCACAACCTGCCATCTAGAATATTGACTTTTTGCCGCAATCGTCCACAAATTACAGGACCGGAAAACCCCACATGTGTAGTTTAACCTGAATCTAAGTGAAGTAATATTAGGATGCCTTCGCCCGCCAAAAATAAAGAAAAACAAGAAGTCGAGACGACAACTGAGGATTTGATTCTCTGAAAAATCTTAGGGGGCACTCCTTGCGATTTGAGATTTCGGGACTTGATCCTCTGAAACATCTTAGGGTGACATCCTTGCGATTTGAGATTTGGGGACATGATTCTCTGAAAAATCTTAGGAGGACACCCTTGCAATTTGAGGTTTGATCTCAGCGGGACAATGCTTGCGATTTGAGATTTGGGGACTTGATTCTCTGAAAAATCTTAGGGGGACACTGCTTGCTATTTGAGCTTTGGAGAGCTGATTCTCCGAAAAATCTTTAGGGGACGCTGCTTGCGATTTGGGGTTTGGGGAAATGATTCTCCCCAAAAAAAAGGGGAAGGGCCCCCATATAGGAGGCCCGAAACCCTCTCTTTGGGCTATGCATGCATGTATGCATGTATGCATGTATGCATGTATGCATGCATGTATGCATGTATGCATGTATGCATGTATGCATGTATGTATGCATGTCTGCATGTCATGTCATGTCATGTCATGCC